TCCAAAATGCTCTTTTTTTCAAAGTCTTTGCCTGTTTCATTATGGTGCTTCTCATTATGGTCCTAGCTGTGTCAATTACAATAAGCATTGTGTCATAGCTTCAAAGTGAATGCCAAGGAATGGGATATGCACATTGAAACAGTCCCATTAGCAGTCGTTGAGTTTACTTCTTGTGAGGAACACACTCCTTCAAGAGAAAGATCCTTTCTTGCTGAATACCTCTTTTGACGGGCAAGAGGACGATCAAAACATGCATGGCTGCGTTGACCCTGAGGTACCCTTATGCTATCCGTGCATCACTCAATCAGATGATGATATGAAGTTGGTAATCAAGATCAACACTGATGTCGAATGTTATTAATAGCTGGATGGATGTATGGTGAGGCAAGGGGTACGTTCAACGTCGGGCAACACATGGATACAAATTCCTCATGAAGCTAGGGAAAGATGATAATGGTTGCTCCACAACCAGTCAGTATGGTGAAATATCCTACTTCGTCCATGTAGATACGGAATCCCCATAACCTATCACCAAAATTCATGATGACGAGTCCTGAAGGTGGGCACCCAAGTTAGTGGCCCATTTGTCATTTGTCCATAGAATGGGAAACCAATATAAGCGTCAGTCTGAATAGGTTGAGAAGCATATATCTAAAACATTTTGCTTGATGGTATCCAGACGACAGTTTTAGACGGTGCGAGCTACAGCAGAACGTTGCGATAAGGCACATTGTCGAACAATATGAGGTGATCATTTAAAAAAACATTGAGTGAAGTGATTGCTGTCATGTCACCTAGAAACTGTGCAGATATGAATGAGTGAATAGAGGAATGCAATGCGGTGAATGTGGATGAGTGAATGAATAGCGAATCTGGTGTATCGAGGCTTTAATAAAGGCTGGTGTGTTTAGCCACCAAGTAGCAAACCAAGTAAAAATTCATCACGGGTCAAGCCGAAAGGACTTCAAAATTGTACGTGCTGTGTGCAAATATGTACTTCTCACATATTTCCATGCTTACTATCCCACGTTCAGTTGCGGCTTTGCTGTCCTAAATTTTGTGTTCGGTGAAATGTAGATAGTCCCTTCCATGTGCTGGATTCGAAGTCGGATGCTGACACATTGTCGGGACAAATGTCTGGGAGTGAGTTTCACGAGAGTACAATCATCGCTGCTAGGTGGTAGTCACTTCTTCCCTGAGGTTTAATGTGGTGCATTAGATATGGATGCTTAAATAGCCGTTCTGCTATACCCTACACGGACGCGAATAGTTGGTCTTCGAGGATGGCACAACTGTTGTGTCATCAAATACGGCTGTCGGAGACGCTTGGTTTTGGACACCCCTTCAAGCATCACTTTCCTGATTCAACACCACTACCCTCTCAATTTGTTTTGGAATTGTGCATGCAAGTGAAATGCACAAAATAAGCTCTAAAGATGGTTTCAGGATTTCCTGTATGGTGCTGTGGCTGTAGCTAATAGTCTTGCCATCGCTACTCTTACGCATCAGATCGGATTTGGCATTTGCTTTCTCCAGATATGAGACAATGCAGAGGCACTGATCGCCTTATGGAGTGTGAAAAGCCTTGCGGTTGAAATGCGAGGTGTGGTTGAATGGCCTCTGACATAATGGAAGAGGCCACTGGTATGCGAAATAAGCCATCACTCTTCCATTACAGGATTGCAATTTTATGGAAAAGACGTAAATTAGAGATGAATTTTGTAAAAGAACGACTGTTGAATGGATGGTTGGGTACGAGATAAAATGGCAGCATGAATCTCGAATCCATTGAAGGCGGATGGAGTAATCAGCAGGAAGTAGAAGAAGGCGCCCAAAGGAGACTGCTTTTCGGAGGAACAGGTGAGTGGAATTATAATAGCATGCATGAATTCCTATGTATATATCAGCATCCAGAATGGCATGATGATAAGAGGAAAAAGTGCTACTGACATAAATTAAGTAAAAGTGGCTGTTTTCTCCTTAGTACTTTATATTCAAACGGTCAAAAGTGCATATAATAAAGTATAATATGAATTTTGGAGCATATTCGTCAACTTGCGGAGTTGTTTTTATTTCACCTTTACAATCTGTGGTTGCTACCCATGTTACTGGTGCAACATTATTGTGGAAATTTTGTTTTGAATAGATGCAGAAAATTTTGCGTTTCCTCCACGCCTGCTCTGCTGCGCTTACACCTCATTCCGTGTCCTTCATTTATCTTCATTGGCATGGATTTGAGGCATCGTCAACGTGGCATCAAATGAAGTGGTGTCACCGGTCTCCCAATTTCCCAGCCACCAAAACATGCACTGTGGACTTTTAAGGGAACCAGTGAGAGCCATGCAATTGCGATATTTGCTCTATACCTGCGCTTAATCGAGTACAAGAAGCTAAGAGTCTTCAAATAGCTCTGAGTAGACCCTCTTCGATAATGCTACCTACGCTGTTGTTCTGCCTTTCAGTGAGCCAGAAGAACGATTGGTAAAAAACATATGCACTGTCAAAATATTTCTGAATAAATTACTAGATTCGCCAAGTAGAATTCGACGCACTGAAAAATCCTCCCCTACTGTGCAAACTGTAGCTATGAATTGGCTGTAATGAAGTGATGAGATACTGTTTCGTTAATATCCTTGACTGCGTAGACGCTTCAAATTTCAGTTCTGCAAAAGTCTATTGTTGAATAGCCAACGGGGTCCCTTACCATTCTAGTTAGCGCTTGTCCCTTCATGCACACTTTATAAATTTTCTGAGGGTCCTCTCGTGTTACCGTCTAACACCATGGCATTTTCTGTCCCAACTTTAAAATGCCAAATGCTCAGATTCCATGACCTTGTGAAATTCTAATTGTACCTTCCATAACCATCTTAACGATAAACAGAAGCTCACATGGATTGCCTCTACGTAAAATTGACCCTTGTATTCAACCCCGCCACCACGGATTGAACCATTAACTTTGCACCCAGGCAGTCAGTCACTCCATATTTTCACATGCAAACGTGGATTCCATTTAAAGTCCTTACCTAACTTCTTCGGCTAAGCTAAAATATTTTGCTTTAATTAATATTTATTGCTAAAACCAGCAGTTGTATCAGCGCTATTCCTCCACCAACGTGTTCACCAACCAAAGTCCAATTAGGCTCTTGCTTCTTCAATTTCTGTTGCTTTTACTGTAGCAGAAACATGGTGATATCTTGTGCATTTTGGGTGGTGCCTTCTAGTGTTCTAATTTGTCTCTTAAGCCAAACATATTAGCATTTAGAAGCGAGGGCTGCTGACGCAAGCACACTAGATGCGTGACTCTGTTCAGCTTTACAAGTCGCGATTCATCTCATACTCACACCTACCTTTCATCAGCCCTTGAGTGGCTCCAATTCAGTTGGGTGTGACTAAGGCACCCTCGAGAAAAATGGGCGGCAAATGTGTTTTGGGAACGCATTCTATCACCGCAAGCCTCCAAGCCATTTTTTTTCGTTGTCTTCGACTTTCTGCTTACGTTGCTTGGCATTGAGCTCGCAGTTGTGCCGATCACATAGGGCGTGGTAACAAGCAGTCGAAGTGAAGGAAAAGCACTTCAACAAGCACATAGAAACGACTTCATCAACAATTTTTTGAAGGTGCAGCCTAATAACGACTCTCATCTCCTAATAAATGACTACATTCTAGCATGAGCAACTTTCAAATGTAATGGGTAGCACTTTTTCTGTCGCTTTTCACCTAGCGATTTAAGTGACTAACTATTTGAACCAAAGTTTGGTGTTTGCCTCTGTGTGTGTATTTCTAGGTTGCTTCTTTAAGGGAAAAAAGATGAAAGGGGATAGGAGGTGTAGGAGAGGGTTGAGAAGAAGAAAAAAGGCAAAAAGACAAGAGTTAAAAAGAGAAGCTGTGCGACGACCATAGTGGTGGAGTGCCTTTACAAGGCCGCATCGTATGGGATGGAAGAGAGGTGAAACTCTCATGAGGGTGCGCCTATCACGAAGGAAATGTGCGCTGATTGCAGCCCATTTGGCACGGCGTCGCGAATTCACACGCACATGCGAGGCAGGCGTGAATGTCTTCGACAATTCTTTCAGTGAGCGGTGGAATCCTTTACGCTTGACGGCACGCTGTAGATGTGACAATTATTGTATTTGCGAAATGAGGTTACCGTTTAGGAGAAAAGTTACTTGGTAAAAATGACATGTTGAAATACAACATTTTGTCAGTAAGTGGTGTGAATTAAGTAGTGGGACGACTTGAAATATAGAGGAAGGAGGGATGGAAGCATGAATCCAGGAGGGTGACCCTAACCCTAACCATCTTGGTGGCAGACGTAGGGAAAAAATGAACGTTTACTGACAGTCTAATATCAGGGTAAAATAGAAGCCTGGTATCGCCCTTAGTTGAGTGCCAACCGTACGTCTCTCACACCACAGCACCAGAGTAACTGTGGTTCCACTCGCCAGAATCAACATCCTTTCCACTTCTACTTACTCGTCACACAGCCCAAGATAAATTCGAGATAATCCACCAACTTGACATAAACCCCGACCCTAAAACCATTGTAAGGGAACCAAACGAGGGCTGAGCTGCTAAGTAACCGCACGAAATTCCTGAATTGGGTACCACCTTATTGCTCGAGGTTTCATTGCACAAAGGTAAAATACTGAAGTAGACATCTACAATTACTGCACAGGTAATGCTCAGGCGAAAAGGGCAAATCGCACTCTGACAGGAATACTATAGGCCTTCACAAGGGATGCACAACCGGAAGATTGGCATCGAAGGCTGGGACGAGTCCTCCTCGAGTGCAACACTACGGTCCATACATCAACCAGCGAATCACCATTCTAGATGCTCAAGGTGCATGAAATGAGACCACCTTTCGATATTTTTTTTCCAACAAGAATGGAGCCAGTCGGCAATGTCCCAGGATGTGGACTGTAGCTGTAGTGCAGTAGTGCTAGTAGTAGTGTAGTGTAGTGCTTGCACAGAACATATCTATTAGTCACTAAGTAGGGTTAGGGGTTAGGTGCTGGCGTTGGTGCAACAAGTTTAGCGTGGCCCTCACCTGGGCCTAATTTGAGCACTTGTGCTCGGACTGCTTCACTCCGACAATGGATACTGTAAAGACGACGTAGCTCGATGCGTCGGCATTTATTTCGATCCTCCTGAGCTTTGAAGGAGATCTATATTTATCCGGCATAGGAAGATGAGGAGAATAGATGTAATAAATTAAAAGCAATGCCGTCAAATCCCTTAGGTGCTATAAAACGATGGGTCTAACTGAACAATTGAATAAACTGAGGGCATTACGGCCTATGAAGGAGGCCGAGACTGCACCGCATTACTTTTCACCGATACAGTCTTGATTAAGCACCTATGGCAATTCGAGTATTCTACTGTTATTTCAACTGAACTCATTGCTTTAAGGGTGTCGATGCTCACCATTCACTCGCACTGAGACTGTGTTGAGAGATTTGTGAAGTAAAGAAGCGTCTTCTTTATGTTAGCACCAGTTCTTCAATGTATGCGATGTTCGTCTGTGGATGTGGAAGGAGGTGAAGCAGAAATGCTGATTGAATTTGTACCTAGTTAAGGCAGAGGCGAATGCATCGAGCTACGTTCAGTTTCCCTGCATATTGCATGTAGAAGCACTAATGAAGGACTGATGTCTGTCACATAGTCCATCTACATCGACAGCAACTGCACATAAGGTATTGGCAGTAGCGATGTTTCTACCAGCCATCAAATGGATCCACTTCATGCCTGTGACTGAGCCTCCGGTATTCGCCTCATTGATGGTGACGAGCAGGAGTGGCTCCACCCTAGTTGGGTGTATCAAAGGGTGCCTTCAAAAGCAGAGTGTGGCAATTGTGCTATTGGAATGCGCGGCTCTCCAAATCATATTTTCTTTGATGTTCTGGCCTGTTTGATTGTGGCGCCTCTCATTGTGCTCTCAGCTGTACCAATCACTTAAGGCCTTGTGGCAAGGAGTCGAAGTGAGTAATAATGCAGCATGCAAATGGATGCGATCTAACAGCCAGGTTATAAGGCATTTTCGTATGAGGAATACAAAGTAGGACAGGTTTTGTGCCTAAAAATGAATGAACGAATGACAATGATTCTGTTCCTTGTACCCAATTGATAAAGAATGCCACTATCTACGCTAGTTTTACCCCTAATTCTTAAAGTCATTTTCAGCAAAACGCTCATCCCGTGGCTCGCATCCAGTCAGGCTTGCTGGGTGGATAGCTGTCCAGTTCAGACACGATGACAAATTTGCAATGAAGGAGCGTGCGGATATGTTTAGGGTTGTACGGCACAACAACTACCACAGGCTACTAAACAAGCACCCTCGCATTGAGGTCGGCGGCATCATTTTCCCAAAAGTAGGTGAGGCTTCCTTTCGTCCATCCTCTTATTTCTTAATCGACTTTCATCCATTCTCGCATACCCTAAGCAAAGCAGAAAGCCATCTGTGCAAATTCCCCTTACACTGTGGTTGACGTGTTAAGATGTTGAGTGAATTGAGGGAACTGCATGAGTAGTGTGAAGATAAGTGAGACATAATGGGGGATTTCGACTTTGGAAATGAACAGACGAAAAGTCGTGAATTAAAGGGGGATTTTATTACCTTACCTGACCGACTTCAGCTGAGCCGAAATTTGCGGGGACCAAAGAGACAACATTGTTAAAGATATAACCAAACGCTTATCTTACCACTGTTTTTCAGCCAATTCTTAACAGCATTTTGCACAGCAGAATGAGAATTCTTTATGTGGCCCTAATTCAGTTCTGGGAATCAATTAAAGCACACGGAAATATTTTGGCAGTACATTTAAAATTTATTAGTTAACTTTTAGCGCAATCAAAAGCAGGCCAAGTGTAGGTAGCATTATTGAGGAGGGTCTACTCAGTACCATTTGAGGTCTCTCAGTTTCTTGTACTTGATCAAGTGCAAATGCAGAACAAATACCACAACTGTAAAATACACAGCCATCACAGGTTTTGTTAAATGCCTACTGTACATATTTCCCTAACTGGGCAACCGGGAGACTGGTGACGCCACTTCTTTCGATGCCACACCGACGATGCCTTAAATCCAAGACAATGAACATAAATGAAGTAAGTGGAACAAAAAAAAGCACAGAGGGCAAGTAGGTGAACTAGAGGGGGTGGAAACGCAGTAGAAATTCCTACATTAATACAAAACGAAATCATGTAATACCGGTGCATCAGTAAAATGGATTACTTCTACACATCCTAAAAGTGGAAGGAAAAATCTTTACGGGGCAATAAATATGCTCTGAATTTCATTAAATATTTTCTTTCATGTCATTTTAGCTGTTGGAAAAATAAGTATGAAGAGAGTACAGTTACAAACTGGTTTGTGAGGATTTTCATGGAAAAGTGGTAACAAAATATCCCACAACAGTCAAGTCTTTCTGAATGCTCCTATACATGTAAGGGCACGTAGTTGCACGCCTATTATTTTAAATCCACCCATCTCTTCATTCAGCCCTTCCGATCTGCTTCTAGGCAATCAAATTAACGAACGGGCTTTATGAATTCCAGACAATGCATTTTGGACACCGCAATGCAGGGACCACTGTCCAACACCTAATGCGAACTGCGCCAGTCAGATGGTCTACAAGTTACCGCATAAGATGCCTAGACAGCACTCCCGTCGTAGGAGGGACATTGGGAAGGGTAACATCATTTCACTCCATGTGGTTGGCTTTGCACTTTGATTCCTTACTGCCAAATGAGGAATTTGGATGAAGAGAAGAAGAAAACTGGCAGCTGCTACCCGACATCTCCCTCGAAAATATTCCAATTGAATTATTCCAACAGCCAGCTCGTACTGAATTCAGCCATTGGTGAGGTAGTCTTTCCAAATACGACTTCTCTCAATGGAGGAAGCAAACAATTTCACTTTACATCTGATGCGTAATGGCAGCGGTAGGGCAGGGCAGTCAGCGGTAGCAGGAAAACTGTAATGCAAGTTCCTAAAACGTTCTTAGAAAGTATTTATGCACTTCATCTGCATAAGCATATCAGACATGCTACTTTTAAAGAAAACAATGAGTCAAGTCGAGAAATTATTGCATGATGAGGTCTCTAAAACCATGTGTCTACTCACTTGGACCCATTCAAATGCACCCATTTGCATTTTCGATGACTCTACAAATTAACACGCCACTTGGACCATCCTCGAGGACCAGCCATTCTAACAATCAATTAGCGGAGAGGTCCTTCACTTCCCTTTCAGTGCACCACATTCGTCCCACCAGTTACCAGTCCATGTAGAATTTGACTACTTTGCACAACGACTTAAGCGATGTTTACACGAGTACGCAAGCTGCCGCACTAGTTGAAAAGCTCTTTTGTCACATTTTGCTATTTGCCGAAGAATAAATAAGGTCGAATCATACTGGCCAAACCACAGGATTGGGCTGAAGGGAGCTTCCAGTGCACGCAAAACTTTATGCATCAGCCTTGTTCTTGGTGAGCCTACCCACTACCGATCAGTTTGCAGGGACAATTCACTTGCATGAAGACACTGCCAATCAGGTGGAAATGTGGAACAAATGCCAAAATTAGGAGCAATTCTATAGCTTACGATGCGTCAAATTTCATCTGCGAGTATGCCGAGGTTCATGGCCGACTCACACGGTCCTACGCATGATGACACCTTGGATTACTTTGATTTATTATTGGCACAGAACTTTGGTTTTTGGAGAGTCAAACATTGCAGTATGCAATTCCCCATGTGCCATCTACATTCACACGCTCATTGACAAAACTGCCGAATGCCCCTTATATAGGGAAACGGAATACTAGCAATCACTTCTTACCTTCGTTTGTTCACTTGCCTCTGCTTCGTACGCATGCATGCAAGCACTTGGAACTCTACGGTGAGTTTCAACATGAATAAGTGTCTTTGCGTCGTCCACTGCCCTACACCCACTCTGGTAAATCATTCGCCTCTTATAAACTGATATTCTTTCTGTCCACCTATTCCATTATAACTAAAACAAGGCAGTGTCTGCGACAGGCCGCATTCTCCTCTCCTCGCCCCCAATGAGCATGAATGGAAGAAACGGAATAAATGCCTTTTGACATGGAGTGACCCACTCCGTAGGCTTTGCCAAAGCCTATTACGGCATTATCTACCACGTTCAGAAAGAACCATAAAGTGTAATGTGGTCGTTGGCGTGCTCTTTACAATCTGCGTTTTCTGATGCAAAGTCATAAATGCAAGAAGGATTGCGCTGTGGTGGTTGGGGATGGGTAAATGGATGGCAATGCGGGTTCACGAAGTCTAAAATGAATTTTATTGCACATAAATTGTAAAATACAAAATGTGTTACAATTCACAAAGGGATGAGTTTAGGGGTAAGCAAGCACTTCTAGAATTGTATAATACGGTGCAGTGAAGGGTAGAATGAAGGAAGGATGATTCAAAGAGCAAATCTCTCCATATTGCTTTTCATTGCTTTATGCTCATAAATCGAGTTTCCTCGTTGTCACAATAAGTTTGCTCACGTTCTCAAACTGTTTGCGCATTTGTTCGTAATCCTCCTTTGTGGCCTGCTTCTCCGTGTCCGTCCACTTTATCGCCTTCTCACACATCGCAAGTATATCTTGTCGATACGCCTCCGGTGTCGTCTGCTTTATCTCCTCACTCTCCAATTTCTTTTTTATGCTGTAGATATGGTCCACTAACAAATTCTTGGCTGCCATCCTGCTCCTCTCCTTCTCGTCTTTCTGCCTGAACTTCTTAGCATCAGCCAGCATTCGCTCTACCTCCTCGTCCGATAGGCGACCCTTGTAGTTGGTGATGGTGATGCTGTTCTGCTTTCCTGTCGACACTTCCATTGCCGACACATGCAGAATGCCATTTTCGTCAATTTTAAAGACCACCTTAACCTTAGTCTCCCCACGCGGTGCCAGAGGGAGACCTGACAGACGAAACTAACCCAACAAGTTGTTCCCACTCGCCATCGCGCGCTCACCCTCATATACCTTGACCGACGCAGTCTCTTGATTGTCTTCAACAGTGTAGTAAAAAGCTACCTGGTTTGTGGGAATTCGTGTGTTACGCTTTATCACCGTCGACATCACACCACCCCTTATCTCCACGCCCAGTGAGAGTGGCGTCACTTCCAGCAACATCAAATCCTCCGTCACTTGCGAAATGGTACCAGTTAGAATGGCCGCCAGCAACGTTGCACCGTACGCCACTGCCTCGTCTGGGTTGATGGACCTTTTTACTTCCCTACCATCAAAGAAGTCCTGCAACATCTTCTGAACCTTCGGAATGCGCGTCGATCCACCCACCAACACTATATCGTGGATGTCTGCCTTGTCCAACTTCGCATCACTCAATGTTGACTTTACCGCCTCCATCGTCCGATTGAAGAGGTCCGAGAACATCTGCTCAAATCGGGCCCGTGTGAGAGTCACAGTGGAATCGATGCCCTCAAACAACGCGGCAACTTCTATATCCGTGTGATCAGCTTCGCTTAACTCTCGCTTTGCCTTCTCACATGCCTCTCTCAGACGACTAACAGAATTCTTGTTAGTGGTTGGGTCCTTCCCTTGGTGCTTTTGCTTAAACACCTCCACACAGTGATCCACCAGTAGAGAATTGATGTCCTCACCTCCCAGGTGCGTGTCACCACCAACCGCCTTCACATCAAATTTCCCTTTCTCCGTGGACATGACGGACACGTCGAAGGTGCCACCACCCCAATCGAAGATGAGCACATTACGTTGCCTGTCGCTTCTCTTGTCCATACCGTATGCAATTGCAGCTGAGGTCGGCTCATTGATGAGCCGCAGCACTTTTAAACCAGCCAATTTTGCTGCGTCTATTGTTGCCTGTCGCTGACTGATGTTAAAGTAGGCAGGCACAGTGATTACCACACGTTTGATCTTCTTGTTCAGGTACGTCTCAGCCGTCTGCTTCATCTTCGACAGCACCATGGATGAGATCTCCTCCGTGACGAATCGCTTTGTTTCACCACAGTGCTGTACTTCGATCTTTGGTATCGCACCGCACTTTACAACCTTGAAGGGCCAGTGCTTCATGTCGCCCTGCACCGCCTTGTCGTCGAAACTGCGTCCAATTAGGCGCTTCACATTGAACACTGTATTGGTAGGGTTCATAACAGCGTAATTCTTCGCGGCTTCACCGATGAGGCGTTTTTTATCTATGAAGGCCACACAACTCGGCGTTAAACGAATGCCCTGATCGTTGGCTATGATATCCACCCTGCCACATTGGAACACACCGACACAGGAGAAGGCTGTTCCCAAGTCAATGCCAATAGCAGGGTGTGTTGTGCACAAATGCTAACGCACTGTGTCTAATAATGGTGATCACCACAACTGCTGCAACCCTTTATATCGACTGCAGTTTACCTTCCAACAACATAATTGCTGAGCAACATTTTCGAGGGTGCCTCTGTCACACCCGAATTGATTGGAGTCACTTAAAGGCAGATGATTCGCCTCTTGATTGGTCAAACAGACCCACTCATCTGAAATCCTTACGCCAGCAATCACCGCCGTCAAAGTGGAGCATATTGGAAACACCACACAAAATTCACAAGACATCACAATGGGACAGCAGAATGGTCCCATGCGTTCAAAAGGTAGCACGTTTTTTCTTTAAGTATTTTTATTTATACCTATAATTTTAACACTGAGGAAATTTGCCTTTTAGTATAATGCTAAACACTAATGATTCCGCAGGTAATGGATAAAAGTGATTTGTAAAGAAATGATTGCCTAGTTCTTTGAAATCCAGTGCATTTAGTTACTGAGTCTTCCAAGATCGGGTTTGCTTTCCGCTGCCACCAATGTAGCGTCCCGAGACTCCCTGAAGACGAAAGAAGACACAATACTCGGGCAGAATATATACATTCAGCACAGAGAAGGTGTCTGGGCTATTAGCATGGCCCAAAAGGCCAGCCCGCCCAGCGAGGTACAAGGGGGCTAGTTCGAAGTACAAAAGTGGCGCCTCACCAGAACCAAGGGATAAACCACTATCGTATTACACTAGTATGGTTTATTGCCGAGTCATTATTGACTTAAGGCACTGCACTAGTTCACCATTATATACTGTGAAAAGTGCTCTAGTTACGAAAACCAAGATTAATATTATACTAGTAAAATTCAACAAACAAAGTGAGGATTTTTTCCATAAAATTTACGTCTTGGCTATTTTGCTAAAGAACTAAATGCTTGTTAGTATAGACCTTCTCGTAGGCAGTCACTTTTTAGAAAGAAAAATTGTGTAACAATTTTATGCATTTTTCGAGTTCAAATTTTGTAATTTAAGGAGGTTTTGTCTTGTTTTAATTTGTCAGGGATCGCACGCTCTGCTTCTCCCGCCGAGGGACGGTTCACCTGGGCTGCTCGCGGAGGGGTTGCTTCACGGTTTATGGTAAGTGGGATTGCTGCTAACTTTTTTCACACCTTTGATTTTTTTGAACGTTGAATTAGAGTTTGTTCTTCTCCTCTCAAATCAAGTTCTGACCTGCAAGTAGCATGTCGATATTTTGAGTCAACGTGTGTATACGGTGTCATTGCTATATTTATCTACTTGTAACTTGTACATGCCTAACCGGTTTGACTTGTGAGATATGGTTAGAAGTTCTTGTTCATTTTTTGGTCCTTCCCAGACATATGTGTATTCTGTCTTTTCTTTAGTTCCCCTAGCAGAAGGTTACTTCTCGCGTACTGTGGCATTGCTGCTGTCTAAGTAGGTTTCAAGCTGAGGTCAGATCTTGATATTTGTAGGTTCTATTTAATGTACTTATCCACATATTCTAGTGAATGGTCTTGAGGAGAAGTGAAAGTAGCCTCAGTTGGCTCAAGCCTACTTATGCAGGTTGTGCTCTTCATCTTTGTGCTTTTATCGCCACCTTGTTGTATCATTGGGCGCTTTACTTTTTGAGTTGTGCATTTACATTAAGTTGCATAAAATTATCCATGACGATTACTTGCATCAAAAAGGGGATATTAGTGTGGTATAAGCAAATATCTTAGGCGATATTTGTGGGAATTGTTTTCCATTCTTAAGTATTAACTAGTAGACCCTACAGCATTGCAGGAATAGTAGTGCTTGAATGTGGTTTCAGTGGACTTTCCACTTACCCTAGTAGCGTCATTAATACTTGGTTTTTTATTCATCCCTTAAGTTTGATGCGCGATGTACGAAGGGAGAAGGGTGAATGTCGATCCATTTGGAGTCCCAGCCGCCACTGCCATTGCTGTCGTAGCAGACATTGCAGTGGCGAAGGTTGTTGTTGCGGACGATCGTAGTGAGTTTTCCTCACCTTACAGTGATTTTCATCATCACATTGCTTCGTTTTCCATTAGAATATGCTATCCTGTCACTTAAACGTTCACTCCGCAGTGATTTTTTTATTTGTGCCGAATTTTCACACTCTTAAACAGTATAGTTTACTTATGCTGCGGATTTGCTTAACCACGCAATTGGCTGAGATTGTGAACGCCCATCTAGGTAAGCAGTGATGCACGCCCAGCCTTCATATCTAACCCTCTGTGCCACAGGTTTGCCTGTTTTGAGGAGAGGAAATTTGGAAGTTCCCGAACTCGATTAAGACTTTTTTACTTCTTCACACGTTAATAAACCTGGGCTGATTTGTTGGCAAGTTTCTGCTTCCATATTTGTTGAACGGGCTTGAAATTTGCGTGATTTGGTTTTGTCTCTTCAATCATTTCCTAACACAATCACTGTCGGATTTTCAGCGAAGTGTCGACGACTACTATTCGGGAGTTGTATTGTTCTCCCCGGTCCATGGTCAACGTACATTACTTTTTACTGATTTTGAGTAGCCTTTCTTTAGGTGCGACAACTTGACGCTGTCATTTGCCATATTAAAATTTAGGACCCGTGCCACATATGTGACACCGGGAGGAAGAGGTCCAGCCTACAGCTTTTGTTGTGTAATCTACGTTCGGTTTTGTTGTTTCATGAAATTCATGAAGCCTATTGAATTTATCTACAAATGTCCAGTTCCTACCACCCAGAAAGGTGTTTTTCATCTGACCAGTTAGTTACTTTCCGTAACGTTCTGTGCGACACCAATGATTAGGTTATTTCTTGAACAACAGCATGAGGTATGTGAATGCTACAGCAACACTGAGTTGATGCATAGATTGCTTTCCCAGCCTCAATAGGGAGCGAAATCAAATTGTTTTTAGTGTGTTTGACTGCAGAGATGTGGTTGGATGATTTGTGTGAGATTCTGCATTGAGGAATTTTCTAAAATCTGCTGCATGTACTCTCTATCCTTGACAAATAAGTGTTGACTTAGCATGAATTTAAAAGGGGACGTTGGTACCTTTCCTCAACCTTTCACCTTGAGAGCAATTAAATTTAGTGCATCATACATGTGTGGCATATGTTCTTTTGGTTCTGGATAGTTGGTAGCCCCTAGTATAGAGCTTTGCATAGATGCAAGATGTTTCTGGTCGGTAGTGTAAGGGTTGTGGTGGTGGATTGTCCTCTTCGATTTTGACAGCCCACGTGCTTGCTTCATGTGTGATGCTACTCCTGGAGGTTTTGGAGGACCTCGAAGTTGTTTCTTATCAGTTGGTAAAATGTTAGTGCTAGTAACTACTTCTTTGGAAAATCTCCAAAGCGTCAGCTTCATATCTATATTTATGCAAAAGTGTGTTAGATAGGCTCTTGGTTGTATGGATCAAGGCAGCAAATAGGTAATTTTTCGCTTACTTCATCCTCGAAACCGTTGTCAATTAATCTTGCCCCACATGAACGATGTTGTGTTGTCTGCGTAATGTGACCTGATTACCTTGTGGTGAGTGAAGCCATCATATGGATTTGCGTTGTTTACGGTGGGTGCTAAATACATCTACTCATGTGGTTTTAAGGGTTCCGGTCTGGGCGAATTTCTGTTATTAAGATGAGTAATAACTGTCGCCTCTGCTCCAACGTGCCATCTGTTGCCTGCAAATTATTTGTTTTACAACAGTCGTCACTGCTAATATATTAACTTGAGCTCCAATGAGGTGAGGGCAGTTTTATGTAAGTCATTTTGGAAATGTGACGTCTGGCAGAAATGTAGCAATACGATCCCGGTTTTATTGTCTGTCTATTGTTCGGCTCGTCTTGAATACCAATCGGGTGGGCGTCTATTATTTGAATCTATGGCAAGTCAAAGGAAAGATTGGTAATGATTTGAAGTCTCCAGAATTGTTCTTTTATCTGCCAACGTCTTAAACAGGAGCTAGTCCATGTTTAGTGATCTACTTGACTAAATTTGGTTATTGGAAGTGTGAATGTTTACTTTTCCACATGTTGATGATGTGTGAGATGCAATGTAGGTCCTTTGTTTGCCTTAACTTCAGTGCTTTGTACTTGTTTCCAGTTTGATTGTGTGCTCCATAACGTATCTTGTCTCATGGAGGTAGGGTGTCTTGAGAGAATGGTTGTACCTCTTTTGCATAAATTGTAGGTCTTTAGGCCGTTTGAGCTATGCGTGGGGTGTGTCGTGAATTAGCTCCCCGTCCACTTGCTTCTGCTGTCCTCCACTGCGAACTACTTATTTGGGTTCTTAGCCCCTGGTACCGATTATTCACTTGTAGGTTAATAGATAAGTTAGCTAGTCTTTTTCTTTAGTGCATTCGTCGGATGTTTGCATACAAAGTGGTCCACTTGACCTCACTAGGGGTACCTACATGAGTGACCGGTGTGGATGTCGACCAATGCGAATGTAATATAAGATGTGCTGCCTCCTGCTATAGTAACCAGTATTAGCAACAATGATGCCATGAGTAAGTGGTGGGGCCTCATTTTGTACTGTGTACATGAAATCTCCATGAATTCAACTGATGCTGCTAATCAAGATGGCAGGTAACGACGGCATCAAATCCGATTCCGTGAATGTCTACTGCAAGCGTAGCACGGCAATGGGAGACGTAACCTTGCACCAGCGCGTCATTTAAAAAATTTCATCGTCATGATGACGATCACTAAAGGCAAACCGTTATTGGCGATTGTGGGAGTGGTGGTTTTTTACCCTACAGGAGGCACATTTATGCATGTGAGCATACAGTTTACGAGATCGAGGTGCAAACTAACCTTTGGTGGAGCTGCGCATGAGACACCATCTTATGTGCGAAGGGTTAGCATAGTGCATTCACTTTTGGATGCGAGAATTCTTGATTTGTGAAAAGCTACCACAGATGTTGCATTGGAATGGTGCAGGCGCACTGACAGGTCTTCTCGTATTTCAGGCTTCTAGGTGGGAGGATACGTGGCTGGGTGTAGAAAGGGGGAAGATTTTATTTTCCACCTCTTGTTACACTTAATTGCCTACTTCCAGCGTTGTTCCCTTGGCACGATTTTGTTACCTGAGCTTGTGCGTCACATATACGTAAAGTCTTCGTTTGGGAAGAAGTAAAGTAGGTCGAATGGGAGGAAATGCGCCAATGGTCATTGCACGTCGTAACAGTAGAACAGAGTGGTTGATGACTGGTTTTTTTTTCTGTTATTGCAATCATTTGATGGTTGACGGAGGCCATGTGGATGAAACTATTGGGTTGATACTTTGTACGCAGTTGCAGTGACGGGGTACGATAATAGGATCTCTCTTCGGCACGTTTTTGGTGATATTGGGCGTTGGATTGTTGGTCTGCTTTTGTTGTCCCCCATGTGGTCGCAAGCAATCACCATCGGCAGTTGACGAGGTACACGGCATTCTGTCGCCACCGCTTTCACTACCGCCGAATTTAGCTACCGTGGGGGTCTACGTGCCCGTATGAAAGCCTTGATTGTCGTCTCCAGCGTTCAGTGTAGTCGCTTTTAATTTTTCTACAACAAATCGCAAGCCAGAATCGATGACGTGGTGAATTTGCGCCTTTGAACACTGTGTGGAGGTTATGGTACATTTTGTAGGCTTGAAGCACGAAGCACTGGAATGATCATTCTTTTTCTTCTGGCAGCGCAAGACTGCCTATATCACTCATCCTCTCCATTCTTGTTCACTAGCTCTCCCTTTTCAAGCTTTGATGATGTCTCGACAATTTTGTGTCACTATGTAATTTTTTTGGTTGGTACATTATAATTTTGTGTACATTTATTAACGTGTATTCAAAAGGCAAAGAAGTGTGTAAAGTTGAGTGGACTCGTGGGGAGAAATATGCATTTCCTTGTTGATCAGAGTGAACAGAGTATGTGAGCCGGTGACACTTGTTGGATGAGGTATTATCATCTGTGGTATCGGTGAGTGGAACATTCGGGTTCGAAACCCTTTGAACGCAGAGGAACTCTCTGGCATAAGTAAATGCAAGATCTGAAAGATGGTTATCATAGACGGCTCAATTAAGGCACCGGTTTGCGAGCAATCTGATAAGTGTTGCGATGGTGCTTTTGTGTTGCTGCAAGTGTGGTGGGAAGCCATGGTGGCGGCAACGTGTGAGGTATAGCGAAGTAGGGTAGTGCGGAGCGATGTCTTTCTCCCACTGGTGCTTGCATGTACCGTCACCTGGTCTCCTTCCCCTCTTACTTTATTTCGTTTATTCCCTTGTTTTCTGTGCGTGTGATTTTGCTGACCTTTAGTTCCGTCACGTTTGTTCGCCTCAACTCCGTCTACTATATCTGCTAAATACAAATGCTTTTGCTTTGGAGTTTTGTTATCCAATTGTCATTATTTTTATTATTTTCTTCATAATTCTAGCACATTAACGCCCTTTAAGCTTTGTTGTTTCTTCCCGCAATCCTTCCTTACTGCATTGCTTTTTGCGCAGGGTAAATCCTTGTCGACAAGTGCTCTGTGGGAGGTGGGAGCAACTATGTACAGTTTCGTTTCTTTCCTTTCTTCATTGCTAAAATAATGGGCTTTGGAATTTATGTTGCTTTCTTTGGGTGTATGTGCAATGCATTTCTCGTGTACGTCATGGCGACAATGGCTTGGATGGAGAGGAAGGGGAATGTGTGGGCTTTTTTTTTCACCCTACTAGTGCTTCATGTCTTGGAATTGTATCCTCTGGTATTGTTCTGCGTTACTTTCGCAAGACATTGTCTACTTATGGCAGTGCTGGATTAGTAAGGAGGAGGTCGTATAAAGTGGAACCTTGACGACAAATGGTGTGCGGGATTTAGAACAAGAGGATTGCTTCGTTCTTTTCTTTACCTGTTCAATTTCGGAACCGATGGGCATTAAAACCTTTGCTTCTTTACCGTAGGTCTTGTGTGAGACAGCTATTATGATGCTGTGTCGCTTTTCATATTGTGCAAATTTGGCAGGCTTTCTGTGAATTCTTTCCTACTTCTCCTGCTCAAACATTTGTATTTTCTTATTCGTCCACTCGCTTTTTCGCTTGGTAGAGCACAAGGCCCACGAATCGCACCTCCCTTCACGCCTTCTCTCGCATTGTGAGCAAGTACGCTAGAGTTAGTGCTTGGCCTCATCAGTGCCTTACGGAGCTGTCTTTGCCTCCGTGAAGTTGCCCTCGACTGTTTTGCTGTCCCCTTTCCGTTTGCTGCTTTTTTTCGAGGGTTTTGTAAATCCTCCTTTGTGAGGGCGCATTCCTAAATATCACCTGCGGCACTTTCCAGTCATTGCAGTTTTTTTAATTTGTCTGCCTAAGCATCTGGGAGCATAATCTTTTATTGCTTTGATTTGCTGGGAGGCATTACTTGTTAGGGCATTCAGGTTTAAATTCGTGCCATGTTTGGTTTTCACGCCTTTCATAAATTTATCAAAATCCTTGTTGGTAGAAAATCATTTTTTGCAGATAGGTAGATTTAAACACGAAAAGTTTTGCCTCGATTCGTTGGTAATTCCTATCATTCGTCTAAATTAATAAGTAGAATTTGGTTTCAAGAAAGTCCTTGCTAAATTTCTTTAACAGGAGAAACTGCTTTGCTGTAAAATCAATCGCATGCTAAACGTGCTTTGTAGGCACTGCCACCTTTCACCAAACCAACGTCTCGCAGTGGCTTAAGAATTGCCGTGATGTGTTGTAGCTGTATAAAAGTGGTGCTGGTGGCTTTGTTGAAATACCTTGCCTTCATCGTTTTTGCAGGTGTGTGCGCAGCCACACTTAACGTGGCGTTGAACTACAAGGAGCCAGAGACCGGTGCTGTCCACCCCATTCGTCAGCTAGTGGACTCTGTGGAGATAGACAGCGACCCTCTGTGGAATGAGTACCTGGCACACGGCACAGGTCAAATCAAGCAGCCTTACCTCGTCTGTATCAACTTACGATTCACTTCCTAGAGGTTGCAATGAGCGTGAACAAGATTTTATTTCTCAATGTCAACATGGTAAATACTACCGAAAATAAATTTGCCAAAATCAATCAATGTTGTCTTCACAATTATTGGAGGTGGATTCCACCTCGTTCAAGGATGCTCTGTTAGCAAATTCTCACGTACCCATATGGCGATGCACTCATTCCCCTGGATCTGTAAAACGACAGGAACTGTCGTTAGTTGCAATTGCGTAGATGTAATGACAGGTGGAGTTGTCTAATTTATTGGACAATAAAAGAACTTCTTGTAGTTTCTATCTGGTGGAACTGGTAGGAACCTGTAGAGCGCGTCCAAGTGCCCACTGAGTGTGTGTGCGTCGCTCACTGCTGAAGGCCCTGACATTAGGAAATGGCATTTAAGCCCAGTGGCTGTATTCCGGGTGTACGCACTTCGCAAAGTGGATTCAACTGCCATAAATTTTGCACCGCAGTGTTACACAGTAATGCCTCGATGAAACGACCTGAGCAGACGGTTGGGTTTTGACGGACCGGTGGTAAATATCCCGCAGTTAGGCAAAGGTAAGAATATAAAGGCACAGGGAGACGACTACTTACTACACTGCAATGTGTAGGCGCAACAGATTCGTTTTTACATCAGCATCGAATTTGTTGCACTCAAAAGCAAGCCTGTTTTTACGTAATGATAGAAATTGTCATTATAATAGAGAGGAATTAATGACACTGGCTCAACTTGTCAAATTTTCCTAGAGCATTTATGTATGGAATTTAGACTAGCTGCAAATTAAAAGCTCCTCCACTAGAAGTGTGGAATAATTTCAATTATAAATTGTTGAAGGTAGGTATTCAATGTGCATATTTATGCATGAGTATAAAGCAGTTAAAGCAGCTGCCATTTTGCTTGAAAAAGCAGAAAAAATTTCTAATATTTAGATTTTGTGTGATGCCTGCATTTGTATGCTGTCAGAGCATAAGAAAGAGTGATTAAAATCAGCAGATGCAGTCCACCACATTTTAAATGCGCGGGATTAGGAAGAATTTATGCAGGTCTAGACAAAATCAAAACCAACTGATATAGCATTGCCGATTAATTCTTCGCAGATTGCTGTTTTCCATGTTATTACCACTAAATATTCACTACGTTGCATGCTGAATGACGCTGTCACACGTTTGATGTGGCGAAGTCTAAATTATCAGAATTATTCGATGTTAATTGAAAACTTTAAATTGAATAAGACAAAATCTGCAAATAAACTAAATGAAAGCTTAGGCCAGATTTAACTAAAATTACTTCGATATTTTGGTGCTCCTGCTTGTTTTTTAACAAACGCTATTTGGGTGTATTATAAAATGCCAATACGAATTGTGCCACGGCTAAGCAAAATAAGGATTTGCAAACGCCCTTATGTGTTTCTGTATTTTTCGAGTGATGATGCTTGCAGCATATTTTCCTTAAGGCCCAGGGTTGCTGCAAACTGCACTCCCACATACCGCCATCTTTTTGAGACAGTGTAAAGGGATGGGTCTGGGTTCTGTCGAGGTTTCAAAAAGGGTAATAAGACATTGAATACGAAAAACCAAGTCCTTGATGCTGGTTCACTCCAATTAACTCAATTCTATTCTCTTACCGTCTGTTACATTGCTAAATAAAGTGTAATACGATAGTGGTTTATCCCTCGGTTCTGGTGAGGCGCCACTTTTGTACTTTGAACTAGCCCTCTTGTACCTCTCTGAGTGGGCTGGCCTTTCGGGCCATGCCATTAGCCCGGACACCTCCGCGCTGAATATATTCATCCCGAGTACTTTGTCTTCTTTCGACTTTAGGGAGTCTCAGGACGCTACATCAGTGGCAGCGGAAAGCGAACCCGATCTTAAAAGACATGCACCCTTATTTTCCACTTCTGTGTGATAAACCTCAGTGGAGCGGAAGAAGCACATATGCTACGGATGGGAGAATGGTGGTGATCCCGAATAGAAGGATTGAAGTTGACGTCCACCTTCGGCATCCATCCCGGTCCCGTGTTCTGCAGAAAAGCTATTAACAACTGAAGCGACACCAGCCGTGAACCATCTGGAAGTTTCGTTACAGACTTTCCCCCCCTTCCCCCTATGGACCTGTATTAAATCATGTCCTTCCTCACACCAATCTACTTTCAGGTCAGTGCTCCTACATCCATCTATGGACACGCATGATGGCCAGCGCAATTTCCCCGTCCTGAATCATGTTCCTAAACCAGACGAAACTCCAGATCTAGTTAAGCTGCCAAGAGCGATCAGTGACGTTGAGGTCAAGTATCTCCTCAATTGCGCGCTAATTTGGTGACTGGCACAACTACGTTGTGACGGCTGATGCGGGAGGTTGACCTGTGGGAGCGCCAGGGACGACGGTGAAAAGAGGACGGAGGCTATGTAATGCGATAGTAGTTTGCCCCTCGGTATTGTTGGGGCGCCACATTTGTACTTGGAATTAGCCCCCTTGTACCTTGCTGAGTGTGCTGGCCTTTTGGGCCATGCCAATAGCCCAGACACCTCTGTGCTGAATATATATTCTGCCCGAGTATTG